TTCTAGATGTCCTTCTCTGGGCCCATGAAGCAGCAGGATTTTTTATTATTATTTTATATATATATATATATATATATATATATATATGTGGTAATAATAAAAGCAGCCAAACCCTGTGTGGAGTCTAGAAAGTTCTTTTTGCCCCCTCACCCCGACAGACTCACACGGGGCAGCAGCTGCTGTCCGCTTAGCTTCCAGAACCATGTGGCTACGCTCAGGTCGGAAGCCATTGACCAAAGGACCAAATTCTTTAACACCCCTGGGGGTCTCGGGGGAACTTTGAAGCTTGGGCCTTGAACCATAAAATGGAATGGACGATTTATTTTAACCACAGAGACCCGGGAGCTCATTTAGCCTCTGAAAAGCATAAGGTTTCTCTTGAGTCTAAAGTGAGTTATTCATTGTTCTGGAAACCCCACGATGACCTTTCTCATTATATTGTGCTAGTAAGAAAAAGTCCTTAATTTCATTATTTGTGTGTGTGTGTGGTGTTATGTGTGTGGTACAGGGAATTGGATTCAGGGATTTCCTGCTCTTCCCTGGCTTTGTTTATCTGCACAAGGCTGGCAGACTACTGGTTGAACCACACCTCTGTTGTCTTTTTGCTGGTTAATTGGAGATAAGAGTCTTGAAGACTTGTTGTTGTTGGCCATGAGCCTTGAACTCAGGGCCTGGGTGCTGTCCCTGAGTTCTTTTGCTCAAGGCTGGCACGCTACCACTTTGAGCCATATATGGCACCACTTCTGGTTTTCTGAGTGGTTCATTGGCAATAAGAATCTCATGGACTTTCCTGCCCAGGCTGGTTTTGAACTGTGATCCTCCAGATCTCAGCCTCCTGAGTAGCCAGGATTACAAGTGTAGGCCGTGGGTGACTCTTTTCTAAGTCAGGAGCCAGATTCGCTGGATATTTCCTTTAAGAAGCCAAAGCAGCTGGGCACCGGTGGCTCATGCCCATCATCCCAGCTACTCAGGAAGCTGAGATCTGAGGATGGCAGTTCAAAGCCAGCCCAGGTAAGAAAGTCCATGAGACTCTTATCTCCAGTGAACCACCAGAAAGCCAGATGTGGCGCTGTGGCTCAAGTGGTAGAGCACCAGCCTTGAGAAAAAAAAAACAACACATCAGAGTTTGCGAATCTCATAGGGAAATAGAGGAAATTATGTGCAATAAGTGCTCTCTAGAGTGGGTGAAGCTTTTTGGGACTTGCCAAGCCTGAGTTCTGCCAGGCTGATGGCGGTGGATCACTAATGCACTGTATTGCGCACAGAGCCATGTATAGTGACCATTCAAGTCTTTAATCTAGCCGAGAAGCTTACAGAAGCAAGATCCCCTCACGTACTAGACCACTTACGTCCTGCTTTGGGGTGGACAGTTTCTGAAGCTCGTTGACTCAACCGTGTTTAGAACTCTGTCTAGCCAGTGTTTATAACTGAGTTCATGCAAAGATAAAGCTTGCTTGCTTTCTTTGCTTTGTGGCCTCTTTTCCTGGCATAAATCCCACCTTGGAAGACTATGTAGTGCCGCGTTTCCAGGACGCTGCATGTAAAGCTGTCTCTCTAGCCAAGGGTTACTGGCTTCGCATCTGCAGCTCCTTGCTCCTCGGCCCAAGAACTGGAGGATCGTGGTTCAAAGCCAGCCTTGGTCAGGACAGTCCATGAAATACTCCAGCGAGTCAGCACAAAGCCAGAATGGGGGCATGGCTCGTGGGAGCTTAAAGCTAAGTCAGAGGGCAAGGCCCTGAGTTCAGGTCCCAGCACTGACTGGCACACACAAGTAACAGGAGGGAGGAAGCAATGACTTTCTGTTTCTGTTTGGTGTCTCCCTGTGGCTCTAAGCTAAGGAAGAAGGCTTCCTTCCTTTCCTTTCTTCCTTCCCTTCCTTCCTTTCCTTCCCTCCTTCCTTCCCCTTCCTTCTCTCCCTCCTTCCCTCCTTCCTTCCCTCAGAGAACACAGCTGTGTGTGGGTTTCTGTGTTGTATGGTTGGGCAGCAGGTGTCAGCCACAGTCCCAGGGGCAACTTGTTGACAGCCATAGGCTGAGAGGTCAAACTGAGGCACTCTTGAGTTTCTCCAGTAAAGCTGGGAAGATGGACCTGCCAGTGCCCCCATCCCTTATCTGTGTGTTCACTCGGGCCCTGATGGCCTTTCTCCTCCAGTCTTACTCCATTCCCCCATTTCCCTGCTATAGGCAGAGAGAACTTTCTAGAATACAGACTCTAATCATCTCATGATCTCCTTGTAGGTTGTCTGTAGCTCACGGGACCGCATTTATATCTGCAAAGATACCTGGTTTGGCTTGTTGCTTTTGGTGCCAGCCCAGGGCTGGGCACTGTCCCTGAGCTTCTTTTGTTCTAGGCTGGCGCTCTACCCCTTGAGCCACAGAGCTACTTTCTGTTTTCTGGGGGTTTATTGGAGATGAGAGCCTCACAAAGCCGGGCGCTGGTGGCTCATGCTCATCATCCTAGCTACTCAGGAGGCTGAGAGCTGAGATCGCAGTTCAAAGCCAGCCTGGGCAGGACCGAGAGACTCCCAATAAGCCACCAGAAAACCAGAAGTGGCGCTGTGGCTCAAGTGATAGAGCGCTCACCTTGAGCTGAAGAGCTCAGGGACAGCGCCCAGGCCCAGAGTTCAAGCCCCATGCCAAAAAAAAAAATAAAGAAAAGGAGTCTCGAAGAGTTTCCTGCCCTGGGCTGGCTTTGAACCGCAATCCTCAGATCTCCGCCTCCTGAGTAGCTGGGATGACAGGGTGAGCCACCGATACCTGGCCAACACACATGCACACGCACACTCATATGCACGCACACATAGATAGGCACACACACATATATACACACACACAAGGCTATGTCATTCCAGGGCCGTCCAATGGTTAGAGCAGTAAAACTTTATCGACTCCGCCCGTGCCCGCCCCCTGAGGAACTCCTGTGCTCAATCCCTGGCGGGGGAATAGGGACAGTGGGCTTCCAGCTGCCACAGACCAACCCTAAGTGATGGGCGTCCTCCTCCTGGGGACAGCCAAGGACTTGCGGGCGCTGATCTCTGCGCCCCTCAGGGGGACAGGCTGGCCTCCTCGGGACTCCACCCCATTCCTCGGCCGGCCAGGGGCAGGCTTTGGCCCCAGCGGGCCCTAGGCTACCCCGACGAGTACTAGGAAACCACTCGCCACGGCCCAGAGCCTGCTGTGGGCACCACTCATCACCCAGATCCAAGGGCACGAGGTCCCCCCTTCCCCTCCCTTCTCCCCCAACTTCCTCCTCCTCCCCCCCCTTCTTCCTCCCTCTTCCCCCTCCTCCTCCCCACAACTTGAGGGTTGTGTGGCTGCAGATGAAGAAATGCCACTCATGCCGGCATCCCAGCTGCTCGGGAGGCAGAGATCCGCAGGGTCGTGGTTCAAGACCAGCCCTGGGCCAGAAAGTCCAGGAGATCTGGTCTCCAAAGAACCACCAGAAGACCGGAAGGGGCCTCATATCTATCTGGCTCAAGTGGTAGAACGCCAGCCTTGAGCAGAAGAGACTCTGGGGCAGTGCCCAGGCCCCAAGTTCAAGCCCCACCTGGACAAAAAATAAAAGCAAGGAAAAGGGCGGAAGCAGCACTCGTCTAGGCCGTCTTCCCTGGTTGTCTGTCTGCCCTTCCTTCCCCCGTGGGGGGCAGCGCCGTCCCCTCGGGCTCACGCACCCTGAGCAGATGATATTTTAGGGAGGTGCGAAGCCACCACTGGACTCAGTCTTTTTGGTAGGCTGTGATGTGCACATGCGCGCTGGAACTGAGGCGTGAACTTGGGGCTCCCCTCTCTCCCCTCAGCTCTTACTCAGGGTGGTGCTCACCCACTGGGCCACACTTTGTCCTGGCCTCTTGCTGGATCGCTCCCAGAGCCAGTCCTGCCCGGGCTGGCCTCGAACTGTGGGCCTCTCGCCTCAACCTCCCACGTCGCCGGCTCTGGAATGGCTTTGTACATAATGCACAGAAACAAAACACGTTTGCTTCTGGGTCCAAGTGCCACTTGGCTGTGCGCACGGCCGGCACTCAAGGATGAAAGTGGTCAGCCATGCCCAGCTGTGCACACGGCCCTAAGGCCCTAACGGCATGGGAGTACCAAGCGCCACCCAGGGCACAGTGGGGCGTCTGAGTGGAAACCCTGGGCATTGTGGGAAGAAGGAGCACTTGAGTGGGAATCCAGGGCATTCTGGGAAGAAGGGTCACTTGATCAGAAACACAGAGCTAGAATGCAGAAGTAAGTCCATTGGTCGTCCTCCATCGTGTGTGAAGTGTCCCCCAATTGCTGATGAAGCATTTTGAGCAGGAGCCCAGAGAATGGTGGGAAGAACCAGCAATTGAGTGGGAGCCGAGAGGATTGTGGGAAGGAGGAGCACTTGAGCGGTAACCCAGAGCATTGTGGGAAGAAGGGGCACTTGAACAGGAGCCCAGAGCTAGAATGCAGAACTAAGTCTTTGGTCGTCCTCCACCGTGTGTGAGGCGTGCCCCGATTGCTGATGAAGCATTTTGAGTGGGAACCCGGGGCATTGTGAGAAGTAGCACCTGAGCGGGACCCGGGGCATTGTGGGAAGGAGGAGTACTTGAGTGGGAACCCAGAGCTAGAAAGCAGAAGTAAGTCATTGGTTGACCTCCACGTATGAGGCGCCCCCCAATTGCTGATCAAGCATTTTGAGCCAGAGCCCAAGGCATTGTGGGAAGGAGGAGCACTTGAGCAGAAACCCCAGAGCTAGGATGCAGAAGTAAGTTCATTGGTTGACCTCCATCATGTGTGAGGCGTGCCCCAATTGCTTTTGAGCAGGAGCCAAGAGCATTGTGGGAAGGAGGAGCCTTTGGGTGGGAATAAACCAGAGCATTGTGGGAGGAAGACGCCTCATTTTGAACAGGAGTTCAAGGCACTAGGGGAAGAAGGACCACAGCGTGCTGCCTCAGGGCTCTAGCCCCCTCCTAGGTCCCTTTCCCCCTCTTTCATCTCCATTCCCCCTCACTGGCCCTGTGTTGTTTGTTGCTGCAGCCTAGGGTGCGAGATGTCATCAGCCCCATCGTGTTCGAGGCCACCTACAGCCTGGGAGCCCACAAGGCTGGGGAGGAGGAGGAGAGGGAGCTGCCGGCACTGACTCCTGTACTGCGCTGGAAGAAGGGGCAGAAGGTCGCCCAGAAGAACCAGGTCAGAACCCTGAGCTCACTGCCCGGCCCAGGGTGGCAGGGGCAAGACGGGAATAATGCCTGCCAGTGCAACGCCCGACCTGCTGCAGTGGGTGGTCTGAATTGTGTCCAGCTAGGGTGGGATTCAAGCCGTCCAGACGGTCCTCAAGTTGTTAGGAAAAATACCACCCCAGCCTGGGCAGTGGCTCTTGACTATTATCCCAGATACCCAAGAGGCTGAGGTCTGAGGATTTCAGTTCAAAGCCAGACCAGGCAGGAAAGTCCATGAGACTCATATCTTCAATGAACCTGAAGTGGTACTGTGGCTCCAGTGGTAGAGAGCTATCATTGAGCTGAAGAGCTCAGGGACAGTTCCCAGGCCCTCAACCTCCTCTTTGCTCCTGCAAGCAGGGTGATTGCCAGGAGTCTGTGGTAGAGAAGAGGAGCCCAGGGCCCAGATACGCAGTTGGGGAGGGAGCGCTTTCTAGTGAATTCATAGAACCTGGCAAAAGCATCTCTGACCAGTGCTTCTTAGAGTCCCCTTGTCAGCCTAGAGGTTTCTGAAAGCCTCTGGAAGGTCCCTCTCACCATGCAAGGCACCTGATGCCTTGGAGTGTGTAAAGGGCCAGGAGAATGCGTCCCTGCTGATTTACAAGGAGGAGATCAGCTGCAGTTTGCCCTTGGGTTCTTAAGTCTTGTTCCAATCGGCTTGCTGTGTCTTTCACAGACAGTCTTCGAGAGGAATTGCCTGTCGGAGGACTGTGCGGCCGACCTGCAGCTCCGAGGCAAGCTGCTGCTCTCCAGGTATGCACTCCTCTTACTAGCATCATTCCCAGAGAAACCTGCTTCTCCTTAACTCCAGGACCACTCGTCCTGAAGGCTCAGATTTCCCCATCAAGACAGGTAAACCCGGCCGGTGGCGCATACCTGTCATCCCAGCCAGTTTTGAGCCAGGGAAGGAAAGTATGGGTATCCTCTAATTAAACAGCAAAAGCCAGCAGTAAGACCATGGCTGAAGTGATAAAAGCACCGGTAAAAAAGCTAAAAATCTAGAGTTCAAACCCTAGTATTACTAATAACAAGGAAAGAAGTAGACTGTGATAGTGGGTTATGATGATAGACAAATATGGCCAGGCGCTGGTGGCTCACGCCAGTCACCCTAGCTACTCAGGAGGCTGAGATCTAAGGATCACAGTTCAAAGCCAGCCAGGCAGAAAAATCTGTGAGACCTATCTCCAACAAACCACTCAAAAAGTAGAATTGGTGCTGTGGCTCAAAGTGGTAGAGCATTAGCCTTGAGCAAAAGCGCTCAGGGACAGCGCCCAGGCCCTGAGTTCAAGTTCCAGAACACACACTCACACACATACACACTCAAGTTAAACTATTGGAAAATGCTTCTGACAAGGCCTCTGAAGATGCTGGGGGTAAGGGACACATTTGTTTTTGGTTCTCTGCTTATTAAAGTCACAGGGAAATCCGTCAATGCTTTTGTGAGCTCAAAGAAAATGTGGGCAATGGATTTCAAGCAGAGAACCCTGACATGGGAGCTCATGCACACTGAGCGGCTGCATGATGGACATGGAGTCTTTTCCATCAGACACCCAGAAACCAGGCAGAAAGAACAGCTCTAGGCCCAGCCCCAGTGGCTGTCTGCCTAGTGACTCAGGAGGCTGAGATCTAAGGACCATGGTCTGAAGTCAGCACAGGCAGACAAATTGAGGAGATTCTTATCTCTGAGGGCAAAAGCCAAAGGTGATGGTGTGTCTCAAGTGGTAAGCATCTTCCTTGAGCCAAAAAAAATAAAGCCAGGAAAAAGTGCAAGTCCATAAGTCCAAACCCCAATAACAACACAAGGGAGAGAGAAGAGAGAGAATGCTTTATTTCCTTTATCTCTCGTACAGCATACATCATTTCACAAGAGAAAAGATGCCCAGTTGGGAAAATTTGGTATATTTCATATATTTTGCTGCTATCTTTGGCATATTTTGTTATCTTTTCTTGCCTGTGACATTCATATGTGTATGAGAGAAAGAGAATACATGCTTTCTTGTGTATGCACAAACACACACACACACACACACATACATATTGGAACTTAAAGTTTGAACACTGTCTTTTAGCTTTTTCCCTCAAGGCTAGTGCTCTAACCACTTGAACCACACCCACACTTCCGCTTTTCGCTGGTTCATTGATGATCAGAGGACATTGCTGCCGGGACTGGCTTCAAACCATGATCCTCAGATCCCAGCCACTAGAGTAGCTGGGATGACAGGCGTGGGCCCCAGTGCCCAGCCTTCTGGCTGATTTTTGGGTTGGTGGCTGGGGACATTGTAGCCATCTTGGACAGTCCCCATGGGAGGCCCTGAGGCCTTCCTGATGCGAGTTTTGGCCAGTTGTCCAGCTGGCGGGCTCCTGACTGGCCGAGTGTAGCCCTGATGCAGGCGGGGGTGGGGAACGGCCTCACATCCTCCAACACCCCCCAGTGTGGTGAGGTCAGGCCTAGCGCAGAGCCTGGGGGACATTCCTCTGCACCCCTCCCCACCCGGGAGGCCCTGTCCCACATCCAGTGGTTCCTGCCATGCCAGTGATGCATTCCAGATGGCCCCAACCCCAAGCCTAGCCCGGAGCCATCCTGAATTCCTCTCCCAGGGACCGGGGAGGGAGGCTGAGCACCCAAAGGGACAGAACCACTTGGCTGTGCTTTGCAGAGGAAGATGACCATGAGCCTCTGCTGGGCCAATTCACAGGGACATCGGCATATGCTTACATGTTTACTTCATGTCTATCTGAACTTACACATGCGTAAACAAATTTACATTTTCATGTTCATTTTATGATGTACAATATGTACTATAATATTTGCATGTGTATTTCTTTCTGTATAGATATATAAATATGCTCATATATAGTAAACATATATTTATAAGCAGTGAATAATAAATATGTTTATATATTATATAGTTACATATAAATTAAATATGTAAAATATACTTACGTTATGTAAATATAGCAATATATTTACATATACATATGTAATATGAACATAATCTATACTGTAATATAAAAATGACATATATATAAGTACACAGTATATACTATATAGTATAAATTTGTAAATATGTACATTTTTGTGTAAATTTATATTTATATATGTGTCTAACACAATGTATATAACACATATATGATATTACATATCTAAATATACATGTTATCTATTTATAAGTATATTATGTATTTATATATTTTTCTAGTACTAGGACTTGAATTCAGGGCCTGGGCACTATCTTTTAGCTTTTTTACTCAGGGCGGGCTCTCTACCACCTGAGCCTCCATTTCTGGCTTTTCAGACTTCCCTGCTTGAGCTGGCTTTGAACTGAGATCCTTAGATTGCCGCCTCCAGCTAGGATTAAGGCGTGGGCCACTGGCAGCTGGTGACATGCTATTCTTTTTTTTTTACTTTTCTTGTAATTTTTATTTGAAAATGCTGTTCTTAAGTGCTGCGCACTTAACTGCAAGTATCTGAATCTTGATAGGGAGAACCCTCCTTCCACCCCATTCTCCTTCGTACATTCCATTCTTTTTCTCTCACTTTAGACTCCAGTAGAGAAATCAGTACAGGGGAGGAGGAAGAGGTTCTGCTTCCATCTCGTTGGATTTTCAAACTAAAAATTCAATCCCAGGAACCCCTTTCCTTGATGCCCTGCGAACATGAATCCAGGTGTCTTACAGAGAGGCACCTCCCATCTCCAACTGCAGCTCAGACCTTGTTGAGGCCTGTGCTCAGTAACTGGAAAAGAAAGAATCTGTGTGTGTGTGTGTGTGTGTGTGTGTGTGTGTGTGTGTGTGTGTGTGTGTGTGTCTGTGTCTGTGTCTGTGTGTCTGTGTCTGTATGTGTACGTACACATGTGCCAGTGCTGGGGCTTGAACTCAGGGAGCCATGCTCTTGCTTTGTGTTTACATGAAAGACTGGTGCTCTACCACTTGAGCCACAGCTCCACTTCTGGCTTTTTGCTGGTGCACTTGCATGTAAGAGTCTCAGGTGCTTTTCCTGCCTGTGCAGAGTTCAATTCGCCATCCTCAGATCTCAGCCTCCTGACTAGCTAGGGTGACCCACATGAGCTGCCGGTGCCGGACCCTTCCAGCACATCTCATCTTGGCGGTGTACTTCCTGGAGTTCACTCACCAGCCTGCATGCAGGAGCAGGAAGTCTCCACTCACTCTTCTGGCATGTTCCTTGTTCCTTCATTGCGATCAGTTTATTTTTTTATGTTTACTTTTTGGTCTGAGACCCAGACTCAAGCTCGGTATCTGAGCCTTGCTTTGGCTCATAGACTGGTGCTCTACAGCCCGAGCCACGCCTCCAACCCCAAGTTCATTTGGAACTTTGGCTCATGTTCTCTCCCTGGAAGACATCGATGAGTAAGTGGGTCCTAGGATGTGCTCATGTGTTTGCTCGTTTGAAACTCTAAAAATGGAAACGTTTTGGTAGTTTTCAACTAAAGTGCCAAGAAATGATTTCTTAAGAGATGTGTCCCAGACATCTGACCTCGCCCCGATGGCCTCCACAAATCTCAAGGAAAACTGTGAAGATCAAAAACAAGCATCTCAGTTGGGCACCTGTGGCTCACACCTATCATCCCAGCTTCTCAGGAGGCTGAGATCTGAGGATTAAGGTTCAAAACCAGCCAGGGCAGTGAGACTCTTATCTCCAATGAACCCCTCAAAAACAGGAAATGGTACTGTGGCGCAAAGTGGTAGAACACTCACCTTGAGCACAGAGAGGCTCAGGGACGGCCCCCCGGGGCCCCGGGCTCCAGCTCCATGCCTGACAAAAGATAAAAAAGTGCTAAAATATGAAATTTACAGAAAACTGACAGTTTGTATCTTTTTTTTTTTTTTAACCAGTTCTTGGGGCTTGAACTCAGGGCCTGGGTGCTGTCCCTGAGCTTCTTTTGCTCATGGCTGGTGCTCTACCTCTTGAGCCACAGAACTATATCTGACTTTTTCTGTGTATGTGGTGCTGAGGAATCAAACCCAGGTTTCATGCATGCTAGGCGGGCACTCTACCACTGAGCCACCTTCCCAGCCCTACAATTTGTATCTTATATTGACTATTCTACACCACATTTCTTTGTTTTTAAAAACAATTTTTATGGTTATTACAAAGGTGATGTACAGAGGGGTTTCGGTTCCATAAATCAAGTGAAGAGTGCCTTCATTTCTTCTTGGACAATGTCCCTCTTCCCTCACGTGTGTGTGTATACATACACATGTATATGTTATATATGTGTGTATACACATACATATACATACAAGCGCACCGAAGAGTTCATGTATAAAGCAATGTGGCCTGCTTCAAAGGCTTCCCCAGAAAATTGGAATTAATGGGAAAGTTTATCAGGGAATCAGATCCCCTGGAAATTAAAGGAAATTGTCCTTCAATAAATAAATAAGCACCCATGGAATGTCTGGCACACAAAACTGTGGCCTGATTGTTCGAGAATTTTGGCACGGCCATCCATGTGGAGTCCTTTTCTTTCTTCATGCTGTCAAAAGACTTTTCATGCCAAAGCCCTTCGCCACCCAATGGAGTCTTGTCATCTAAGGGCTCCAATGGTCTCCATCCCAAACAGAGCTCACTGCTCTTACGCCCTACCTGAGGACTTGCATGAAGTATATTCTCTTCTCTGGGGCTCAACTTTCTCTTTTTTGTTTTGTTTTGTTTTTTGATTCATTGTGGGGCTTGAACTCAGGGCCTGGGTGCTTTTCCTGAGCTTTTTCATGCCACCACTTGAGCCACAGCACCACTTCTGGTTTTCTGGTGGTTCATTGGCGATAAGAGTCTCACAGATTTTCCTGCCCGGGCTGGCTTTGAACTGCGATCGTAAGATCTCAGCCTCCTGTGTAGGTGGGATGACAGGCGTGAGCCACCGGCGCCCGGCAAGACCTGAAATGCTGATGAGAATAATGGGGCTAGGTATCTCCTGATAGGTCTCTTTTTTCCCAGTCCTTACAGGACTTCCGAAGGGCCTAGACGTGACAGGCTAGGACTAGAAAATGTGTGTGATGGCGGACAAGAAGGAGCATTTCGGGCACAGATACCCCGGGCACCCAACCCCAGCTCAGCCCACGGCCAGCCACCTTACCCACATTGTATCCTTCGTGTCTTTTAAAAATGGGTGCCATTAATCATGCCTGCAATTCCAGCTGCTCAGGAGACTGTACTCTTAAGGACAGCTGATCGAATCCAGCCTGAGGAGAAAGCCTGTGAAACTCTTACCTCCAGTGAATCATAAAAAAGCCTGAAGTGGAGCTGTGGCTCAAATGGTAGAGCACCGGCCTGGAGCATAAAAGATCAGAGACAATGAGCTGGCCCAAAGTTCAACCCCCCCCCCACACACACACATGCACACGTGCATGTGCGTGCACACACACACACACATACACACATAGGGACCCTGACATTAATACCCTGACTCACTGTGAGATTTCAGGAAGACATGTTTGACAGGACTCAGCCCCAGGCTGGCAAATTAGATTTTCATTTCACTTCTAAGAATAACTTCGGGAAGCAAAGATGGACTATTTTGGTCATGGGTTTAGAGCTTTCGAAAACACAGGAGAGACAGCTTCAAGGCTTCCTTGCAGTCTGGAGTTCACGCTGTACCCCGGACAGGTACCTGGCTTCCCTTCATCCCCAAAACACGCTTGAGGAAGGAGCATTGGTTCATAATTAAATGTCAAGAGGTTTGCATTACAGGGGCTGCATTACAACGTCTGGCCTGTGACCCCTTGGCATTTGCACATGAGGGGAATCAACTGGTACAGAGCACAATAGTAGAATTACCCCCACCACGGTGCTGAATTTCCCTCTGTTCCCTCAGCTGAATATTCTACCCTCCTAACTGTGGTCACAGTTGAGTGCAGTTCCTTCTTGAGCTAAAGCTGGGTTAGTGCTGTCTCATAACTCCAGGTCTGTCTATGACTCCTTTAATCTTACAAAAGCAAACGAGGACAGAAATAACCCGTTCATTGTTTAAGTCGAAGAAGGCCAACAATAATAAATAATTGCCACAATGGCTTGAGGTCAGGGTCCCTTCATGTACTGGAGACCGCTCAAGAATGCAGAGTTCTCCGAGTTCATTTTTCACATCTTGTTTGCATCCTCAGACCTCTCGCCTCCAAAGCCAGGCCCTCTGAGTGCTTGTTGTACATGTTATTCTTGTGGACACGCCAGGCCCGAGAGAGAGAGTGAGGCTTCTCCTCATGGATGGCAAAGGACGATTCTTTCCCCAAAATGTGTATACTAAAGTACTAGCCTACTGAGAGACTGAGTACTCGTTGTTGTTGGTCAGGGGGCTTGAACTCTGGGCACTGTCCCTCAGCTCTTCAGCTCAAGGCTAGCACTCTACCACTTGAGCCACAGCGCCACTTCTGGCTTTTTTTGCTGGTTCATTGGCAGTAAGAGTCTCCTAGACTTCTCGACCTGGGCTGAATTTGAACCTCAATCCTCAGATCTCAGCCTCCTGAATAGCTGGGGTGACAGGCGTGAGCCACCAACGCCCGAGACCTGAGTTTGCAATGAACTAGCAAAGGCCCATGGGCCCCATTGCCCTGACACTTGGCTGGTGAATGGGCTTCTGGGACTTGTAGTCCTGACTCTAGTTCCCGCCTACCACTTCCAAGCATTCTCCATGCCTGTGTTATCCCAGGGCGGGTTTCAGGGTGTTCACTGCTGTTGCTTTTGTTTAAATTGCAGTGTGGATGAAACAACTCCATATCTAGCTCTAGGGGCAGTGAAGAATATCTCTGTCAACATCTCCATCTCCAACCTGGGGGACGACGCCTACGATGCCAGCGTGTCCTTCAATGTCTCCCGGGAGCTCTTCTTCATCAACATGTGGCAGACGGTAAGCGGCCTGCCCTGGAGGCGGGTTTGGTCCATCTGGCGCAGCCAGTTCACCTTTCTGAGAGGGCGCCCTCAGCTGCGACGGTCCTCACAGAAACCTCAGCAGAGAGGGTCCCTGGGATAGAATTCCCTCTCCACTTGGACAGTATGCTAGTATAGTCATATGCTATACTAGCAGTATACCTCAGAGAATGCATGTATTATATGTCGCCTCGTGCACGCGCATGTATGTGTGTGTGTGTGTGTGTGTGTGTATCTGTGTGTGCACGCATGTGTGTGTGTACTGGTACTGGTACTTGAACTCAGGGCCTCATACTCTCATTTGAGCATTTCTTTTTTTTTAAATTTTTTAAAATTATTACACACGATTACCTATCATTATACGTGCTTTGAACCAAAAGCAACCAGTAAATAATAAATGGAATATAGATATAATTTACAACATTATAATGTGATAAATATAATGGAAATAATTGATAATATACAGGATAAATAAGTATAAAATAAGAGAAATTCCAAAATCTCCAATTTTGAATTGTAATCATAGAGGTGATGGACAGAGGGGTGACAGTTCCATAAGTCAGGAAATGAGCATGTTTCCTTTTGAACCATGTCCCTCTTCCCTCACTGTCTTCTGCTTTTCCCTCCTGTCCCCACCTACAAGGTGTAGAGTTCAGTCTCTACATCGTGTCCAGTGAGGACCACGGCTGCCTCTGTTCACCCTCCGTCCTCTATTTCTGTGCCCCCCAAAGACAGACAAATGAACAAACAAGACAAAAAACAAAAAGGAAAAAAAGTTGTTTCCATTTCCTGAGTTCATTTCGATAACTATTTTGTACAATCGATCGGATACACATAGGCATTGTGCCTTTCTGTTCCTCTCCTAAGTCACTTGAGTTTTTCATTCAAGATTGACACTGTACCGCACTGCCACTTCAGGCTTTTTGCTGGTTAATTGGAGATAAGAGTCTCATGAAGTTTTCTGCTCAGGCTGGGTTTGAACCACAGTCTTCGGATCCTGGCCTCGTGAGTAGCTGGGAGGTCAGGCGTGAGCCACTGGTGCCCAGCTTACACTGTCCCTTGTCTTCTCTCCCTGTAGCTTTTCATCTGGACCTTTCTTTGAGTAGGTGCATTTGTACATTTCTAGCATGTGTACATTCTAGAAAGTTTCAGCTATACCTGTAACCCTAGCTTAAGAGTCTGAGATCTGGGGGACAACACGGAAGGGTGACATAGATCAAAGTGCACTATACTCATAGCATGACTTACGCAGTTGTACCCTCCTCAGCTGGTGTAATAAAGTAAAAATAAATATATAAGATTTTTTTAAAATAAGGCTGAAGCTGGGCGCCGGTGGCTCACACCTGTCATCCTAGCTACTTAGGAGGCTGAGATCTGAAGATCACAGTTCAAAGCCAGCCCAGGCAGGAAACTCCATGAGACTCTTATCTCCAATAAACCCCTAGAAAGCCGAAAGTGGTGCTGGGGCTCAAGTGGTAGAGCACCAACCTTGAGCTGAAGAGCTGAGGGACAGTGCCCAGGCCCAGAGTTCAAGTCCCATGACCCACAAAAAAAAAAGGACTTGTCAGAAGAACAACTCTTTATTTGACTGGGCCTCCACCACTTGAGCCATACCTTCAGTTCCTAGAAAACACAATTCTTTTCGCAGAATATGACTGAAGCTAAAATAGCTTCTTGTCAAATGGAGGCTACCCTGGACAAGGCAGTGTTTATGTCGAGCCGCCACTTTGACAGACTCCTCCCTGAGGATTCTGGGAAGCCAGGGTGATAGAGGAAGAGACCCATGTCTCCATTTCTTTGTGTGACAGGGCCTAATGTGGGAGATGTGACAGCAGAATTGTCAGAGAAGTTCAAAGGCATTCCCTTTATTATTTTAAGCAGAGTATATATTTTTTGAAAGGATAAGCCATGAAAGGAAAATTAGCCAGATTCTCCATCAAAGAGAGGGAGTCCTGGGGCATTACCTTTCCCAGAGTCTCCCATCTCAAAATTCAAGATGGCGCCAGGTGATAAAAACCGACCCACTTCCTGATCTGAATAGAGCGAGAGAGAGACAGAAGAAGGATTTGCACAGTAAAGTGTTTGTGTAATGCTTTATTTGTGGGAGTGCCTGGCTTGAACCCACACCGGAGATTTCCCTCCCCCACCCCATATATAGGGGGAACACAAGGCGCCCAGTGTGTTGGGAAATCTGGGGAAATCACACATCTGCAGGTAGACACACCTCATCCTTCAGGATCTCAGCGGATGACCGACAGCCTGCCTCCACCCCGGCTGCTCGCCCCTGCCAGGGCACACACCAAGTCTCCATTGTGCTGTACTCTCCCATGTCTCTAGTTAATAACCGGGCGAGATGCTTCTAGACTTCTTGGCTGAGCCATTAAGATGATGGATTGAACTTACCGCTTGCCCTGGTTAAGCAAGCCCTGAGGGGAGACATTAATACTCAGAAAACAATGTTTTTCCCACCCCTTTCCTGTCCCCGACCTGCACCCCTAGGCCCGGACGACTTTACCTTGAACTTCCTGCATCTCGACAGGTAGAAAACCTTACTTGGCTCCGTTCCCAGTGGAGGGAAGTTTCTAGAATAACAATCAGCTCCTGATCTTCCATTTGGGGACTGTCAAAAGTAAATCCCCTGTCTTTATTTCTATTTTATTGATATTATTTTCTTGTGCTGGTAACTGGGCCTTTGGCACTCAGGGCCTGAGCACTGCCCCCTTAGCTTTTTTGCTTCAGGCTGATGCACTACCACTTGAGCCACACCTCCACTTCCACCTTTTCACTGGGTAACTGGCCCGGGCTGGCTTCGAACTGTGATCCTGCAATCTCAGCCTCTTGAGCCACTGGCACCAGGCCCAGCCCTGAGCATTCTGAATTGTTTCTCTGTCGTTGAGGGCACTGGAGAAGGCAGAGCCCAGCGGGTTCGCTGGCTGTATTCTTAGCAGGCAGGCAGCTTTGCATGGCAGCCAGCCCGGGGTAGAAGGTTCTGGTAAGAAACTCAAGTGATTATTTCTAATCACAGCCGCCACCTGGGCCTTGCATTGGCCGCCTGGGTTCGGCTCTCGCCTCATGAAAAGCTCTGTTTGTATATTCACCACATCGGGAAAGAGGGGAGCGCTTGGCTTTGGAAACATCAACAGAGCAAAAGCTGTGCTTTGCCACCTGGGTGGATGGAGAGAGCCGGCAGAGGGCGAGGAGAATTTAGAACACGCACATTCAGACCCCTGGTTGTTTTTCCTTCCCCTCCACTGACTTACTACAAGAGAGCAATTGAACAATTTCCTCTCTTAAGGGCACATAAGGAGTCTTGGTTTTAATTTTTTTTTTTCACAGCACATGACAGCATCTCTAATGAAAGAATAAAAGAAAGAAAGCTGGCCAGGCACTGGTGGCTCAGGCCCGTCATCCCAGCTACGCAGGAGGCTGAGATCTGAGGATCAGGGTTCAAAGCCAGCCCAGGCAGGAAAGTCCATGAGACTCTTATCTCCAAGGAACCACCAGAAAACTGGAAGTGGCGCTGTAGCTCAAGTGGTAGAGTGCTTGCCTTGCGCTGAAGAGCTGAGGGGCAGCACCCAGGCCCAGAGTTTAAGACCCACTGGCAAGGAGAAGGAAAAAAAAAAAGCAGCCTCACAGACTTTCCTGCTCAGGCTGGCTTTGAACTGCAATCTAGCTCTCAGCCTCCTGAGCAAATTGGGATGACAGGTGTGAGCCTCCCAGGGAGGCATGTCCCCCCCTCCCCATAATGATCTTAAAACATTAAAATCCGATGCGGGGGAAGCAAGGCTCAGCAGAGCGGGGCTGGCCTATGTGGACAGCCAGACTTCCAGGCCTGGGCTCATCTTCTCTGCATGGTAATGAGTCTTCGTGTCCAGTGCTCGCCAGGACAGCCGGGTGGCTGGGTTCTCCCCGTGAATCGGGTCTTTCTCGTGACGTCACGTCTCCTGCTCTGTGTGTGTGCGCAGGGCTGTGAAGGCAGGAAGCACGGTGGATCCTCTGGGGCAGACGCCATCTCTCTGAACAAGGTGCCCTTCAAGTGCTACAAAAGCCTTGGCTTCGAGGCCAAGACCCATGCCAGGCTCCCTCCATGTCCACCGGCACTGCCCGGGCCAGATCCGGAACTGCGGCCGCCTCCCAGCACCCATCTTCCTCTCTCAGGAAGATGACCTCTCACTCTGTGATAATGCCAGCCTACCATCCCAGCCACTCGGGAGTCTGAGATGGGAGGGTCACAGTTCAAAGCCAGCCTCGGGACGGAAAAAACAACCAGGGAGACTCTTTATATCCAGTGATGCACCAAGAGGCCAGAAATGGAGGTGCAGCTCAAGTAGTAACAACGATCAGCCTTAAGCAATAATAATGATAATAATAATAGTAACAATAATAATAATAAGCTAAGGGACAGCAACCCAGGCTCTGAGTTCAAGCCCCAAGACCAACATAAAAGAGAGAGAGCTTTCCAAATTACACCTGAGTGAATTCTCCCTCACTGCTCACTGGGAGAAAAGAATATTCTAGTGTGTGGAGGGAGGGGCAAACTGGGGTGGGCCAGTTTTCCAGAGTCACCCCTGGTTCTCTTCCCGATGGGGATTTAGGGACGCACCAGTAGGAAATGTTAACGCCTGTTAGGGCTGGGGGCCGGGCTTCTCCACCCATCAGACAAGGAATGGGCTGAACGCATCCTTAGGGATCAGGACAGGCTGTGTGAACGTGGAAAGGGGCGGCAGACCAGATTCTGGTCAAGATGGGGGTGGGGTCCCCAAAACCAGGGCCCTAACTCCTCTTCCACAAGGCCTCTCTCCTGGCTCTTTTGTTTTTTGTTTTTTAATTTTTTCTCCAGGTCTGGGGCTTGAACTCAGGCTCTGAGCTTTTTTTCTTGCCCAAGGCTTGGGGCTCTACCTTTTGAACCATACCTGCACTTGTGGCTTTGGGGGTGCTTAACTGGAGATGAGAGTCTTGGACTTTTCTGCTCAGGCTAGCTTCAAACCGTGATCCTCAGGACTCATCCCCCGCAGAGCCAGAACCCCAGGCCCAGCGAGATTTGGTGCAGACCTCGTCGTCTCTTTCTCTCCTTGTTCTCACTCTGGGTCAGAAAACTTTTGAGTGTGGAGGTGTCTAAAAACTTAGAATATCTGAAGTATGCCATTCAAGAAACTGTTAGCTAACTAAATAAAAAAAGGAATCCAGGTTAAAAAAAAAAAAAGATAAATAAGGGTTCATTTTACTTTCATCGCAAGTTCTTGCTGCTCCTAAAATGATTTATAGTCATTTTTTAAACATCTGAACACAGTTAAGGGTATTTCAAATAAAGGAATAAATGTGCTTCGACAATTCTCAAATATTGACTCGGGAGCAGATGTCAACATGCCCCTTTCCGCCTGGAGAATACTGTGTTTGCCTTCGGCCCTTTCTTCTCGTTTGCAGTATCCTCCACTATACTCTGAAGGTTTAGGGACAGTAAATAAAGCTGAGGGCCATTTTTTTGGCAGCTGTCTTCTAGATTGGCATGTGGTGTGTGTGTGAGTGTGTGTGTGTGTGTGTGTGTGTGTGTGTGTGTGTGTGTGTGTTGGGCCTGGGGCTTGAACTCTGGGCCCCGACGCTGTCCCTCAGCTCTTCAGCTCAAGGCATGAGCTCTACCACGTGAACCATGTTGGGTTTTCTGGTGGTTCATTGGCAATGAGAGTCTCATGGACTATCCTGCTCTGGCTGGCTTTGAACCGCGATCCTCAGAGCTCAGCCTCCTGAGCAGCTGGGGTACCAGGCATGCGCCCTTGGGGTGGGATAGGGGGAGGCTTCCATTGTTAGACGTTCATAGGACCTTTGCTCTCACCTGGGAGTGTTGCCCAAATGTAAAGTGTGATGCAAATGCTTCCCTGATGACATCGGTGGTCTGGCCGCCACTTTGCCCATCAGGAGACTGAGGTTTGGAGCCAGCTTGGGCTGAAAAGTCCACACCATGCTTAGATCCACACTAACCAGCAAAAAGACGAGAGTGGAAGCATGGCTTGAGTGGTAGAGCGCCAGCCTTGTGCACAAAAGCCCAGCAAGTACCAACACATGCTCATAGATGCTGACCGCCCCCCCATTCCCACCGCAGCCCTTATCCAGAACATTCCAGATGAAAACAGCTGCCTTCCACTCCCTAAGGCCATGGAAGGCCAGTTCATAGAGCCGTGGAGAAAGGAGAATCAGAGATACCAGTTCTCTGCTCGAGGGGCAGAGAGCCGGCTGCAAGACGGAGGAAGCGGGGCCGGAGTGGGAGGTGTTTATTCTCAGAGTTGTGGGGCTGGGCAGGAAATCTTCGCTCTGTGCCAAGGAAAACCTTGTCGTTCTTTTTTCCAAAGGCCTGGCTGAGGTTGCTGCAAGAGGCGGCTGTGGGGGGACTCACGGGGAGAGTTACAGCCTGGGCTGAGCACGGGGACCCGGGCATGGCTCTGCCTTCCCATTGGCAGATCACATTAATGGATGGATTTTTGTGTGCCAGTCCCAGGCTTGAACTCGGGGCCTGGATGCCCTCCCTGAGCTCCTTTTGTTCCAGGCTGGCACTCTATCACTTGAGCCACAGCGCCACCTCCAGTTTTTGGTGGTGGTTTATTGGAGATGAGAGTCTCATGGACTTTCCTGCCCAGGGCTGGCTTTGAACTGTGATCCTCAGATCTCAGCCTCCTGAGTAGCTAGGATTACAGGTGTAAGCCCCCAGCAATTCTACAAACTGTAGATCTGTCTCACGCTTTGAAACACCACCCTTTATTTTTTAAATTTGTTTTGCCAGTCCTGGGGCTTGAACTCAGGGCCTGGGCACTGTCCCTGAGCTTCTTTTGCTCAAGGCTAGCACACTACCACTTGAGCCACAACACCACTTCTGGCTTTTTCTGTGTCTGTGGTACTGAGGAATCGAACCCAGGGCTTCATGCATGCTAGGCGAGCACTCTACCACTAAGCCACCTGCCCAGCCCCAAAACACCACCCTTTAAAAGCCTTTCTCCCCACTCCTCCCTCCCCCTTCCCCTTCCTATGAGCCAGGTACACAGCGCATACAAGGGTCCACTCAGATTCAGATCATGAACAGCCATTTTGGCAAGTTTTCAAAAGCCTGCCTCCCTTTAGGGGGCTGTTGTTCAGGCTGTGGGGTGCACCCGGCCATGTGGGGTGGGATGAACCTAGCCTGCCACACATGGAGGAACAGGTGCTTACAGTTTGTCTGAAATGCTCAGGACCTAGAGGAACAGTTTCCGGATTTCCAGCCACTTCAAGGTTCACGGCCGGCCCCTGTCAAATGCATGCCCTTCCATCCCCCTCCTGCAGTTTAGCATATCTGGGGCCCTCTTTCTTTTCCATGGTTGTGGGGCTTGAACTCAGGGCCTGACCACTGTCCCCGAGCTTTTACACAAGCCCAGCACTCTATGATTCTAGCTTAGCAGAGAGGCTGAGACATGAAGATCATGGTTCAAAACCAGCCCAGGAAGAAAAAAAAAATAAAGCCACCAGACTCATCTCCAATGAACCAAAAGTAAAAAAATCAAAAAGCAGAGAAGCAGAGGTGTGGCCCCAAGGCTAGAGTCTTAGCTTTGCCTGAAAAAGCCAAGCAAGAATGCAAGGCCCTGAGTTCAAACCCCAGGACCAGCACCAAAAAACAAACCTGCAACAAAAAAAATCAAGAACTGGTGGCTCGGACCTACAGTCCTAACTACAAAGGACACCAAGATCTGAGGAATGCTGTTCGAAGTCAGCCCAGGGCAGGAAGGTCCATGAGACTCCTCTCCCTTTAACCACCAAAAAACAGCCACAAGCAAAGCCACAGCTCAAGAGGTAGAGCCTCAGGCTTGAGTGAAGCACTAAGGGACAGCGCCCAGGCCCCATGTTCAAGCTGCGCCCCACAATCCACAAAATAAATAGATAAATAAATCCGTTCATCCTGAAAGGCCTAAAATGGGGCCTGCTGCACAATTGAGAGTTCAGTGCTGGAGGCTTAGATCGTAGAGCACCAGCCGGTGAGCTAAAGTATCAGATACTTGGACAAAATACATAGATAGATAGATAGATAGATAGATAGATAGATAGATAGATAGATAGATAGATAGATAGAGTTCAATTAAGAGTCTCTCCCCTCCCCTCCCTGTTCCCTGGGAGCTGGCGGGCCTTCTTCTCAAAGTGGACAAAGAGGATAATTAAATGGACCCAGCCTTAAGTGAATTGAAATCAATATGAGTGAATTAAAATCAACTAAAGTGGTGAAGCCATGTTGGCTGGCATTCCATGTTTCTTGGGTTGAATTTTCTTTTTATTGTTTTTGGTCTTTTGTTTGTCAGTCATGAGGCTTGAACTCGGGGCCTCACGCTCTTGCCCAGCTTTTACCCTTCGGCTGGGCACCCTGCCCCTTGAGTTGTACCCCCTTCCAGCTTTCTGCTGGCTTGCTGGAGATAAGAATCCATCTGGATTGTTCTGCTGGAGCTGTGAGATGCGTCCAGCCTCCAATTCAGTTCCCTTCCTCAGCAGCTGGGATTGCAGGGGTGTGCTGCCAGCACCCTACCAGCTAGCCAGGTCTCCTTCTTTTTCTGCAAGATCTTAAAAGGCAGAATGAAGGAGTGGCCCTCTAGACAGTGGTCCCGAAGGAAAATTGGGCGGCCTTTCCATCCAGGCCTTAGGGGATTTCCAGTCACCCAGTGTGGACCAAACAACACTATCAGTTTGACTCATAGTGGTTTTATTCTCCATGCTTGCCTTCTTGGGGAATCGCATGGAAAAAGATGGGCGGGCAGAGGAGAAGGCGGAGGATTTGTCAGGGGAAAAACAGCAGCAACAGCACATCTCCTGGGTTCCTCAGCTGACAACCTCCCCACCCCCAAAAGAAATGATTCCTCCCTCCCCCCGACACACACCCCAACCACGTGGCCAACACGGTGCTGCTTCTCTTCCAGGAAGCCACAGGCACTTCCTGCGAGCTCCTGGCATCCGACTTTCTCAAGTGCAGTGTGGGATTTCCGTTCATGAGGTCTGCGTCCAAGGTAAGTAGCAGGAGCAGGTGCTTGGGCCCCACTCACCCACGGCGCTCGGCTCTGCACCCCACCACCTTGGCTCTGCACCATCTCCCCTGACTCTCCCCAACAGCCCCCAAGGTCTGTGGCAGCACTGCCGTCATCTTTTCCTTTCCTTTTTTTTTTTTTTTGTCAGCCCTAGGTCTTGAACTCAGGGCCTGGGTGCTGTCCCTGAGCCTCTTTGTGCTCAAGGCTGGCTCTCTACCACTGGAGCCACAGCACCACTTCTGGTTTTCTGGTGGTTTATTGGAGATGAGAGTCTCATGGCCTTTCCTGCCTGGCTGGCCTTGAACCGCGATCCTCGGATCTCTGCCTCCTGTGTAGCGAGCATGATGGGCGTGAGCCACCAGGACCTCCTAGGGGATCTAACTAACTTGGCCCGAGCTGGCCTCTACCCTCCATCCTCCTGTCTGCCATTCATCTTTTCTTTCCTTGCAAGGACACTAATTGAATCATAAGAAGCGCACAACTTAATCTCAACCCAATTACCTCACAAACACGCTGCCTCCAGATTGCCTTAGCTGGGAGTTAGTTAGCACTTCAAGTCATCTATTTGTGGGAGTCAGAAACTTCCCCTTAACCAGTGCCAGTGGCTCTGTATGGATGCACAATAAATATAGTTAATTAAGTAAATAAATAAATAACAGCTTCCAGAAGTTAGAAGTAGCAGAACATTATAGCTCTTGGAGGATGGAGTGCTTGTGGGAGCCAAATAACCTTTTTCTTTTCCTTTTTCTATAGTATGAGTTCAGCATGATCTTTGACACTAGCCACCTGTCTGGGGACGAGGACATACTCCGCTTCATTGTGACTGCGCAGAGGTAAGCAGGCAAGGAACAAAGTTACTGGATTTTGTTGTTGTTGCATTTAAAATAAAAGATTTAAGAGCTGAGTGCTGGTGGCTCACCCCTGTCATCCCAGCCACTCAGGAGGCTGAGATCTGAGGATCATGGTTCAAAGCCAGCCCAGGCAGGAACATCCTGAGTCTTGAACTCAAAGCCTGGGTGTTGTCCCTGAGCTTTTATGTGCAAAGCTGGCACTCTGCCACTTGAGCCACAGCATCACTTCCGTTTTCTGGTGGTTCATCGGAGATGAGAGTCTCACGGACTTTCTTGCCCAGGCTGGCTTTGAACTGAGATCCTAAGAGCTCTGCTTCATGCATAGCTGGCATACCCGGCTCTGTGGCAGCCTCTGTGAGAGGCTGATGTCACCCGATGTACAGAAGACAGACAGATGTCGGGCCTGGGTCAGGGGCGGCAGCCTTGGAGGGTCAGAATCACAGGGTATCATTGTGGAGAACAATAGGAGAGGGAAGGAGAAGAACGCCAGGGCTATTTTAGTATCCGCTCCTCCTCCCCACCAGCCCCAGTGCAGCTCTCAGATACCAGGCCAGCACACGGGCTCAGCCGAGGGAGGCCAGGACACGGTGTGGACCCCAAAGATCAGGACCAGCCAGAATCCGAACCTCAGAGCCTCGGGGGGGGGACCTCTTCCCTTCTACCCCAACAAGGCAGATAAACATCCCCACTCCCACCCGCCTTCTCCCTATCCTCAAACACCCTCTCCTAATCCCAGTTTAGATGGAGTTTGAATAGTCAGTCAGGGAGCATCGGCCTTCCCTCCTCCTCCTCCTCCTCCACCATCTTCCTGCCTACCAAGCTGGGGCCTGCAGAGAGGACTCATGAGACATCTGACCCCAGGCTGAGATTCTGAGGATTGAGGTTCAAAGCCAGCCTGGGAAGGAAAGTCCAAAGAACTACTCAAAAAGCGGCACCCTCTTTATGGCTCAAAGTGGTAGAGCACCAGCCTTGAGCACAAAACCTCAGGGGCAGCGCCCAGGCTCTGGGTTCAAGCTCCAATAACCACAACAATAACAATAATAATAACAATAATTACCTGAGGGACACACAGGGTGGTGTGGAGAATGTCCGGGTGAAGGTCCAGTGCTGGCTGCTGGCTCATGGCCACTCTTCTTCTTGTTGTACCCAGTGGGAATGTGGAGCGCGCTGACGCCATTCATGACAACACACTCATGCTGACAGTGCCGTTGCTGCACGAAGTGGACACCTCCATGACAGGGTGAGTCCTCCAGGACCAGGTGAGTCTTCCATGACAGGAGGAGTCCTCCGTGATAGGGTGAGTCCTCCAGGACAGGGTGAGTCCGGGAACACGAGGACCTTCCACGGAAGCCACCATCGGAACACAGGGGCCCTCCCATGGAAGGCTCTGCTTCTGGAATACGAGTGGATCTCTGGCCCACGTGGTTGATGGGGTTCTGGGGATGGCATGGCACGTCCCCAGCCCACATTGGACACTGACGTCCTTCTGTCCTCTCTCAGGATCGTGTCTCCATCTTCCTTTGTGTATGGGGAGTCTGTGGACAAGTCCAACTTCGTGCAGCTGGAAGACCTGGACTGCCATTTCCAGACCCTCAACATCACCCTCCAGGTATGCCCAGGAGACCAGCTCATGAGGCCCAGCCAATGTGATGATGATGATGATGATGATGATGATGATGATGATGATGATGATGATGATGATGGTGATGATGGTGATGATGATGTTGATGATGGTGATGATGATGTTGATGATGATGATGATGATGATGATGGTGATGATGATGATGATGTTGATGATGATGATGATGGTGATGATGATGATGGTGATGATGATGATGATGATGATGATGATGATGATGATGGTGATGATGATGATGGTGATGATGGTGATGATGATGTTGATGATGTTGATGATGATGATGATGGTGGTGGTGGTGATGGTGATGATGTTGATGATGGTGATGATGATGTTGATGATGATGATGATGGTGATGATGATAATGATGGTGGTGATGGTGATGATGATGATGATGGTGGTGATGATGATGATGATGATGATGGTGATGATGATGTTGATGATGATGATGATGGTGATGATGATGATGATGATGATGTTGATGATGATGATGATGGTGGTGGTGATGGTGATGATGATGATGATGGTGATGATGATGATGATGATGGTGATGATGATGATGATTGTCAGGTATGGGGTTGTGAACTCGGGGCCTGGCCTGGCCCTGAGCTCTCTTGCTCAAGGCTGGCACTCTACCACTTGAGCCATGGCACACAGAGCTCAGGGACAGTGCCCAGGGGCCACTCCGTTCCAGCCTCAGGGCCGTTGCCCCCAGAATGAATGACCACAGGATGGAAGTCTGTGCATCCCTCTGACACACTACCTGTGCTTCATCTGCAGGTCTACAATTCCGGCCCGAGCGCCCTCCCAGGCTCCTCCGTCAGCCTCTCTTTGCCCAACCGTCTGTCCTCCATGGGGGCAGAGATATTTCAAGTCCAGGACGTGGTGGTGAGTCCCCCGCGCTCTTTTTTCTGGTTGCTTCCAAAGACCTGGAGCTCTTCCTGCCTTCATGTGGTGTTGCTCCAGCGTGACAGCCCACAGTGCAAGCGCTCTGGACCTGAGTTCAGCCAGCACTCTGGAGACCCGGAATATCTAAAATTTCTGTGCAAGGTCGATTGGTTCACGATATAAGAAGTCTTCTTATGCAGGGTGCCGCTGGCTCCCAGCTGTCACCCCATCTGCTCAGGAGGTTGAGATCTGAGGATTGCAGTTCAAAGCCAGCCTGGGCAAGAAAGTCCATAAGACTCTTCTCTCCAGTGAACCACCAGAAAACCAGAAGTGGCGCAGTGGCTCAAGTAGCAGAGTGCCAGCTATGAGCTCCTAAGACGATGGCTTTCAGGAGGAACTTGCCGCTACCATTGTTCTTGCTTTGTACCAAGATGGGGACTTGAACTCAGAGCCATCCCAGAGCTTTTTCACTCAAGACTGTTGCCCTAGAACCACAGCTCTACCTCTGGCTATGTGTGTGTGTGTGTGTGTGTGTGTGTTTGTGTGTTAGAGAGAGAGCAAGAGAGAGAGAGAGAGAGAGACAGACAGACAGATGCATGAGATGCATTAGAAGGATCTCACAGACTTTCCTGCCCAGAGCTGACTTTGAACCATGATCCTCAGATCTCAGCCTCCCACGTGGCTAGGATGACAGGCGTGAACCACCAGTGCCTGGTTCGGATCATATTTATTTCTGGGTGATGTTATGTAAACTCTAGGTGAAGCAGGAGGCTGCCTCACCCAGCAGCCCGGGCCCTAGGTCCAAGCCCCACCCAGTACCAGCACCCCCTCCTCCCTGCTCAGCCATTGCCTCTCTCCCGCCTGGCAACCCCACACGGAGCCCTGCTGGTGTAGAAACAGGCTGGGTTGTTAGGAAGTCAGCAGCAGGAAATTACAGTGAGGATAAACAGAGCTCATCGGCCAGGGCTAAGACACATGGTTCTCATTTGACCCGCTGAGGGCTTGTTATGTGTGTTCGGGAAGCAGGCACGGGAAGTCGATTCCTCTGACATGTGCTCCAAGTCCTGACCAGAAAAGAAAAGAAAAGAAAGGAGAGGAAAAGAGAGATTGCCTCACAGACACAGAGCAGCAGTTATCTCCCTGGCTGCCAGGGAGCTCGCCCCGTCTCCTCCCCTTTAATCATGGAGACAGGTAACCTGAACCCCATTTCAGGCCTCCCAGGAAGCCCCTGGAGTGGTGGGGTTTCTCTGCTCTATTATTGTACAGGTTCACAAGTGGGGGACCAGTGACTCATGCCTGTGACCCTCCTCTCTCTGTCTAGGAAGCCGGGATGTGGGGTGGCAGTGCAAAGTCAGCCCCGACAAGCAAGGCTCTATGAGTCTCTTTATCGCCAGTTAACCCAGCGGGAGGGGGGGGCTGCGCCAGAAGTGGAGCTGTGACTCAAATGGTAGAGTGCCAGCCTTGAGCAAAGGAAAGCTAGGGGATAGCACCTAGGTCCCAATGCACCACACACACACACACACACACACACACACACACACACACGCTCAGATCTCAGATCTCAGGCATGCTATGTCTCCTCCAGAGGAGGCGGGGGGCTGGGGGGGATGACTCTTATGATCCCAACCAGCAGATGGGCTCCGCTTACAAAATGTATCCTTCGTTATCTGCAGCAGGAGAAGCATTTGTGGCGGCCTGTCCACAAATTTTTTTTTCATAAAAAAAAAAAAATCCGACCTCAGAGCTAGGAGTGTGGCTCAGTGGTACAGTGTTCGCCTAGCATGCATGAGGCCCTAGGTTCGATTCCTCAGTACCACATAAGCAGAAAAAGCCAGAAGTGGCACTGTGGCTCACTCAAGAGGTAAAGTGCTAGCCTTGAGCAAAAAAAAAGCTCAGGGACAGCATCCAGGCCTAGAGTTCAAGCCCCAAGACTGGCAAAAATACAAAAAAAAACAAAAACAAGAAAGCTATGACTTTCTTGCCCGGGCTGGCTTCAAACTGCCAACCTCTAGATCTCAGCCTCCCAAACTAACAACGAAGGGTGACACCGGCGTCTGGCTCCTGTACTGATCTTTATTTCGAACTTTACGGTCCTGAAGTTAATGTTGCTGTGGCCACCGTGGGAAGGTGACGGTCCCTGGGTGCGCAGGAGGGGCTCGGATCAGCAGAAACATGCCCTGGGCCTCCCGACCCCAGAGGGCGTGCAGAGTTGGGGGGGGGGGGGCTGGTCCTCTGTTTACCCAGTTGTCATCTCTGTGTTGATGTAATGTGATCTGGAGAAGCAGTGGGTGGGAGGGAATGTCGCCTGGCCCCAAGAGCCAATGGTGAATAGGGGAACAGGAGGTAACTAGAAACACATGTGCGACCACCATGGTCCCTGGACCCTGGTCTCTGGCCAGCACCACCTCGGCTCTCCCATCCAGCTTTTTACCCAAGAACCATCTCGGAGATGACGCTGGTTCCATCTTCCATTTCCCTTTTATTGGCGATGGGCCTTGGGGGTGAGGAGACGGAGCCTTGGACTCCGAGTGACCCTCCCCCGTCCGGGATGAGCATTGGCTTCACGCGTGCGTTCTTGAACTCAGGGCCTCCTGCTCTTCTTGCCTGGTGCTCTACCGCTCGAGCCACACCTCCACTCCCAGCTTTCCTCTGGCTCCTTAGAAATAAGTGTCTCTCAGATTTGTCTGTCCTGGGACTGGCTTCGAGTCACGATCCTCGCAGCTCAGCCTCCAGAGTAGCAGAGATGGGGACCTGAGCCACTGGTGCCCAGCCTGCCTGGACTGCCCGCCATTGGTGCTGGCCGTGTTCATCCTGGGCTCTAGTTCCCAGAACCATCAACTGTCTGGTTTCCTACCCACACGTGGTGTTTGCTCTGGGGTCGGGGCAAAGGGTCATATCTTTCCAGAGGCAGGGTTTGGGCTTTACGGGCGTGTGGCTCATCCCTTCGTCCTTGTGCAGACGCCGGGAAGAGCTTTGGGCCTCTCCTTTCTCCCAAAGGCCAGAGGCCGTGTCCCTGGGCGCATGGGACTCGACCGATGTAAGAGATGCAGGAGAAGAAGGGGAGCACGCAGAGCTGATCAGAGGAAAATAGTCACCATGGCTCAGTGGTAGAGCACTCATCTAGCATGCACGAAGCCCCAGGTTTCATTCCTCAGTACCATATACACAGAAAATGCCAGAAGTGGTGCTGTGGCTCAAGTGGTAGAGCGCTAACCTTGACCAAAAGAAGCTCAGGGACAGTGCCCAGGCCCTGAGTTCAAGACACACACACACACACACACACACACACACACGCACGCACGCACGCATGCACGCACACTGCACACACACACCAACTGGACTCAAGGAACAGTCATGAAATCTTCCCTAAATACTTCATTCTATGTTAGAGATCTCGCCATTCCTGACAGACTGTTTCAGGCTGGTGTGATTTTTTTCCCCCAAATATTGCTTTTTTTTTGGGGGGGGGGGTCAGTTGTGGGCCTTGAACTCAGGGCCTGGGCACTGTCTCTGAGCTACTTTTGCTCCAGGATGGCGCTCTACCACTTGAGCCACAACACCACTTCTGGTTTTTCTGGTGGTTCATTGAAGATCTGAATCTCATGGACTTTCCTGCCCTGGGCTGGCTTTGAACTGTGATCCTCAGATCTCAGGCTCCTCAGGAGCTGGGGTGCCAGGCGTGTGCCCTGGCGGAGGGACAGGTGCCAAGTGAGGAGGCCTTCCTCCTCATTCCTTGTGGATGGAGTTTTGGCTCTTCACCCACTTATGGTGGAGCAGGGAGGGCAATGACATAGCATATCCCGTCATATGGCCCATGCCAGACGGCCTGGGCCTCGGAGGACCTCCTTCCCCTCCCCAGTCCCCCTTGCCTCTCCCCCCCCACCCCCGCCCTTCCCTCCCACACTCTCACAAGACTCCTCTTTCTCTTTTATTTCCAGGTGGCCCAGGAGAAGGGAAACTGCTCCTTCCAAAAGAACCCCACACCCTGCGTCGTCCCCCAGGAGCAAGGGAACATCTTCCACACCGTCTTTGCTTTCTTCACCAAGTCTGGGAGGAAGGTGTTGGTAAGGAGGGCAGAGCCCGGGCTTCTGCTCCACACTTCTCCCTTCTCCACTATGGCTTCTGTTTTGCCATCCACCGACTTTAAAAATCACCAAGAGGAGCTGGGAAGGTGGCTCAGTGGTAGAACGCTTGCCTTGCATGCCTGAGGCCCTGGGTTCAATTCCTCAGCACCACATAAGCAAAAAATAAAAAAGCCGGAAGTGGCGCTGTGGCTCATGTGGTAGAGCGCTAGCCTTGAGCTGAAGAGCTGAGGGACAGTGCCCAGGCCCAGAGTTCAGGCCCCACGACCGGACCCAAAAAAAAAAAATCACCAGGACCAAGTTGGGCACCCGCAGTTCACACCTGTCATCCCAGCTGCTGAGATGTGAGGATCGTGGTTCAAAGCCAGCCCAGGCCAGGAAGTCCCTGAGACTCTTACCTCACATTCATGAGCCCCCACCCCTTGCACAAAAACAAGCCAGAAGTGGCACTGTGGCTCAAGTGGTAGAGCGCCAGCCTCCAGCAAAACAAGCTCAGGGACAGCACCCAGGCAGTGAGTTCAAGCCCCATAGCCAACAACATATCTGAGGACCAGGTTGTCCAAGTACAATAAACATGGGTCACAATGCATCAGGAATGCTTACATCTGTCCTGTTCCTTGTCTAAGTTTATACTGTCTGCATCATTTTTCCTTTTTATTTTATTTTATTTTTTTTTTGGTGGTCCTGGGGCTGGTACTCTGCCACTTGAACCGCAACTCCACTTCCAGTTTTTTGGTGATTTGTTAGAGTTAACAGTCTCAACAGATGTTCCTGCCACGGCTGGCTTTGAACTGTGAACCTCAGATCTCAGCTTTCGGACTTGCTAGGATTACAGGAGTGAGCTATGGGCAGTAATTTATATTTATAATTTATATATATTTTTTGTTTTCTTTAGCCAAAAGAAAATCTCCCATGATTTCTTTCCTTTTACGTTGACTATAAAATGAGCGGCCATTTGGTACTGGACAAGCGAATGAAAAAAAATAAAATAGCCTGGCTGTCCTTGGAAATCCCTTCGGTTTTTTTCTCTTCTGAAAAGATTTCTCCCTCTAATGGTAGGAAGGAACAACTGCAGTTTTCTTCTTGTTTTTGGTCTTTTGTCTTCACTGGGGCTTGAACTCAGAGCCCCGTGCTCAGGCTTGGCTTTATCACTCAAGGCTGGCACTCTACCATTTGAGCCCCCCATACACTTCCAGCTTTTTGCTGGCTCACTGGAAATCAATCTCATGGAATTGGACACCCAGGCTGGATTTGAACTGTGAGCCTCAGATTTCTGCTCCTGAGTAGCTGGAATGACAGGCCTGGCTCCCCGCGCCACCCTCCCCCCCCCCCCTCTCTCTCTCTCTCTCTCTAACAGCTAGTTGTCTGCGTTCTCTCCTCAGGACTGTGGGAAGCCAGGGATCTCTTGCCTGAAGATCCACTGTGATCTCAGCGCCCTGGGCAGAGAGGAAGGCCGCACCATAGAGATTCACACGCTGCTGAACACGGAAATACTGAAGAAGGTACGTCTGAGAACACGCCTCTCGGAAGTACCTCCCTGCTGGCACCCGCGGCTCTTGCCCGTCAGCCCAGCGACCCAGGAGCCTGAGAGCTGAGGGTCAGGGTTCGAAGCCAGCCCAGGCAGGAAAGTCCATGAGACTCTCATCTCCATGGAGCCATCACAAAACCAGAAGTGGCGCCGTGGCTCAAATAAATGGCAGACCGCCAGCCTTGAGTGGAAAAGCCCTGAGGTTTGAGCACAAGCCCCAGGAATGAAGGAGAAGGAGGGGCAGGGGGAGGAGAAGGAGAGAAAGAGGAGGAGAGGAGGAGGAGGGGGATGAAGAGGAAGAGAAGGACAGGAGGAGGAGGAGGAAGAGGAGGAGGAGGAGGAGGAAGCACTTCTTTGTAGAAAGCGTTTGAATTGGCTTCTCCACGCTCCTGCTGTTCTGGGTTAGTTTGACTTTGCTTTGCTTTCCCTTATTTGGGTTTGTCATTGTTGTGCCAGGCTTGCTGTCTCAGGGCTGGGATTACAGGCGTGTGCGACTGCTCTCAGAGCTCGGCTGCCCCTTGTGAACCTCTTCTGCCAGCGCCCTTGGTTGCTGTAGGAATACCAGATGTCGGAGGAGCGGTGTGTGGCCCAGGGAGTCCTGGGCTTCACCCAGATGTGCGGGGTGGGGGGTACTCGACTGGAGAGACCCCGGCTTCACACAGATGTGACTCCGCCTAGTCTTCTCTTTCACGAGCTCCCTAGCTGCTTAATTTGCACCTTCAGGTTGCTGCTCATACTGAAACTCTACAGTCTGACTTCTCTGTCTGGTTTTTTATCGAGCGCCTGGCCAATGCCAACTTCGCAGGTCTGGAAAGTACGGATTTTTGTTAAATTTATTTTTATTTTGTATTTTTTGCCAGTCCTGGAGCTTGAACTCAGGGCCTGGGCACTGTCCCTGAGCTGCTTTTCCTCAAGACTGGTGCTCTACCACTTGAGCCACAGCGCCACTTCGAGTTTTCTGGTGGTTTATTGGAGATCAGAGTCTCACAGGCTTTCCTGCCCCGATGGCTTTGAACTGTGATCCTCAGATCTTGGCCTGCTTGGCGGGCATGAGCGAGCAGCACCCGGCTTGCATTTCTTCTTCTCTAGTGTGTGTGTGGGGGGGGGGGGGGGAAGAGGGGCTAATGCCAGGCTCCTTAGCAAAGCCTGGATCAAAGCAGAGGTCAAAGCTGGGCCTCCACTGTTTCTGGAGACTAAAGCAGAATTATCTGTCACTCTGACACCAGCGTTGGCCTCCCTCTTCCTCCTCCTCCTCCTTCTCCTCCTCTTCCTCCTTCCAGGAGCTGAGCCTAGGGCCCTGGGCTGTCACAGCTCCCTGAGGACCAGAAACGAGGCCAGATGTGCAGTTGGCCTGGGCCTCAGGCTCCATGTTTATTTTCCTTCTGACCTCAGATCTGGCCCTGCCAAGGGAACTTGAGGGTTTGATCGTTTTGGCCTTCACAAGTTCACCTCTGAAATGGAGGATCTGATTTTTTTTTCTATCCCCAGAGAATTCAGATTATTTTTCTTTTCTTTTCTTTTCTTTTGTTGGTCCTGGGGCTTGCACTCTGGGCCTGGACACTGTCCCTCAGCTCTTCAGCTCAAGGCAAGTGCTCTACCACTTGAGCCACAGCGCCACATCTGGTTTTCTGGTGGTTCATGGGAGATCAGAGTCTCACGGACTTTCCTGCCCAGGCTGGCTTTGAACCAAGATCCTCAGATCCCAGCCTCCTGAGTAGCTGGGATGGCAGGAGTGAGCCACTGGCACCCGGCTGTGATGAAATTCCGCTGAGATCAACGTGGGACGTGGAAGCTGGGTGCTGTCAAGTCTGTCAGGGAAAGTCGCTGTCACTGGGGTGAAAACATGCCATCTGCTCCACAGGACAGCGCCTCTGTCATCCAGTTCATGGCCCGAGCTCGAGTGAAGGTGGAGCCGTCCTTACGGGTGGTGGAAGTGGCCCATGGAAACCCGGAAGAAATGACGGTGAGTCTGCTGCTGTCAGCCTCCCATGCAGCTAGGGTGACCGGCGCAAGCTCCTGGGATCCAAGACTGTCTGGGTAGAGATAGATCTGTGAGCAGAGGCAGGGTTAAGGTGGAGTAAGGCCTGGTCAGCTTTAGCTTCCAGTCCCGTTACCCACCCATCCGCTGAGGCTTTTCTGTGGTTTAATCTTCGGCTCCGTAGGGTTCCTTGTGAGGTGAAAGTTTCCAGCAGTGATTGTCCAGAGGAAAAAATGAAATCTGAGCCGGGTGCCGGTGGCTCATGCCCATCATCCCACCTACTCAGGAAGCTGAGACCTGAGGATCACAGTTCAAAGCCAGCCCAGGGAGGAAAGTCTGTGACACTCTTATCTCCAATGAACCCAAAAACCGCAGAAGTGGAGCTGTGGCTCCAGTGGTAGAGAGCTAGCCTTGAGCTCAAGAGCTGAAGGACAGCGCCCAGGCCTGAGTATAAACCTCAGGACTGGCATAAAAAGAAAAAGCACAAGCCCCTGAGTTCAAGCTTCAGTACCAGCACCACACACACACACACACACCACACACACGTGCAGGCACACACACACGTGCAGGCACACACACACACGCACACACACATGCACCCAAAACAAAACACTTAAGCTTGGTATGATGTCAAACACCTATAATCCCAGCTTACAGGAAGGCAAAATGAGGAGGATCACAGACTGAGGCCAGTGCTGGACAAAAACAAAACAACTCCTTGAAAAACAACCATAGTAAAAAAGAAAAGAAGGAAGGAGGGGAGAGGGGGAGAGAGGGAGGGAGGGAGGGAAAGAGGAAGGAAGAAGGAAGGAAGGAAGAAAGGAAGGAAGGAGACAGAGAAGGTCCTGGGGGCCTGGCTCAAGCTGCAAAGAGCCCACCTTATAGACAGGCACTAAATCTAAGCTCCAACAAAAAGGAGAAAAAACAAACCACAAGAGGACACAGATGCGGTGGGAAGAACTCACAGGTGAGGTGCTCTATGTGCAGACGGAAATCCTCTAGGCACAGGGCCGGAGCGGCCGGAGATGGGGTCCAGGAAGTCAGGGTGCCCCATCCTTCCTGAGGGGGTGAGGCAGCTGGGGTTCAGGAAGCTGGGACGTCCTGTCTTTTCCTGAGGGGTAAGGCAGCTGGGGTGTGCGTCCTGAGGGGCGAGGCTGAGTCACGGTACTTCCTCCAGAACACCATTTCCGATCGAGGCTGTGTGAGATCACGCTTGGACGGACGGACAGACAGCCTGGCCTGGGCTTTTCATTGTTCTTTCTTTTTGTTGGGTTTTCTCCCCTCCCATGGGGGAGGGAAACGTGAACGCACCTCCCCTTCATCGTCATAATTTTAAAAAGAGACAAAGACATTTCAAAATGAAAATAATAATAGGAAGATTCTCATCGTCAGGTTTTTAAGGATTTTTTTTATATAATTTTTAATTTTTTTTTTCTGGTCCTGGGGCTTGAACTCAGGGCCTGGGCGCTGTCCTTGAGCTCTTTTTGCTCAAGGCTGGCACTCTATCACTTCAGTTTTTTTGCCAGTTAATTGGAGATCAGCATCTCTCAGTGTTGCTGCCTCTGACTTAGAATGCTGATCCTCCAATCTCAGAGTCCTGGTCTCAAGCTAGGACGACCGGCATAAGCCCCAGACCACAGGACAGGACTGATATCCTCATCTCCTGTGACAAATGTGGATGGTGCCACGGTGTGTTAGCTTGGGTCCCAGAAGGCAGATGCCCAGAATTCTACATAACCACCAGGTACCCTCAGCTCACACCTGTCATCCCAGCTCCTCAGGAGGCTGAGATCTGAGGATCGCAGTTCAAAGCCAGCCCGGGCAGGAAAGTCCATGAAACTCTTATCTCCAATGAGCCACCAGAAAACCAGACATGGCGCTGTGGCTCAAGTGGTAGAGCGCCAGCCTTGAGCAAAAGCAGCTCAGGGACAGTGCCCAGCTCTGAGTTCCAGTATCAGTGAGATTTCCCTACTGAGGCTCTGGTTTGCTTCCTAGGCCGTCTTCGAGGCTCTGCACAACATGGAGCCTCGGGGCTACGTGGTGGGCTGGATCATCGCCATCAGTTTACTGGCCGGCATCCTCATCTTCCTGCTGCTGGCCGTGCTGCTGTGGAAGGTGAGTGGGGACCGTGGGCCCGCAGCCTCCGCCCCACCCTGGGCTTCCCAGATGGGTGGCCACCCCATCTCAGATCCCCTTATAGTTCACAGAATTGGGGAGACAAGGCCCCCTGCCACCTAGAAGTGGAAGTTTGTTTTGTGCTTTGTTTTGTTGCCAGTCCCGAGACTTGAACTCAGGTCCTGGGTGCTGTCCCTGAGCTACTTTTGCTCAAGGCTGGCGCACTGCCACTTGGAGCCATATATGGCACCACTTCGAGTTTCTGGTGGTTCCTTGGAGATGAGAGTCTCATGGACTTTCTTGCCCAGGCCTGGCCTTGAACTGCGATCCTCCAGATCTCAGCTTCCTGAGTAGCTAGTGTGGCAGGCGTGAGCCACTAGCTCTCAGCCTACAGGTTAAACAATTTCAGGGCAATGTAAAAGCAGAGGAAAGCTGGGCACCCAGGGCTCACGTCTATCATCCTAGCTGCTCAGGAGGTCAAGATCTGGAGGATTGTGCTCCGAGGCCAGCCTGGGCAGGAATGTCTGTGACTCTTATCTCCAAAGAACCATTAGAAAACCGTACGTGGTGTTGCGGCTCAAGGGGTAGAGCACCAGCCTTGGATTAAAAAGCTAAATGATTGTCTGGGCCCTAAGTTCAAGCACCACTTCTGGCAAAAAGAAAGAAGGAGGGAGGGAGGAAGGGAAGCCAACATTCCTTTTACACGGCTACTACCAGACCAGCACCTTCGCGGCCACTTATTTCCAACCCCATCCACAAGACCCTCATCTTACAACTGTCAGGAAAAAAAAAAGAAATTCTGGTTCTTCAACACACAGCCCTCTGCTGCCATCTGTCGGGACGTAGTTGTACTAAATGCATCTGGCTGCCGTGCAGAACGCACCCGACTCGGCCGGGTTCAGCTGTGGATTTTGTTTTGGTCAATTGTGGGGCTTGAACCCAGGGCCGGGGCGCTGTCCCTGAGGTCTTGTCCTCAAGGCTGGCACTCTACCACTGGTGCCCAGCATAGAGCACATTATATTTAAGATGTACTCTTCGGTTCAAAAGCAGACAAATGAACCATTGAGGAAGCTTAACTGTCCTTTCAGGAGATCTCACACAGTGTGACAGAAACCCTGGCCCAGGGCTGGTGGCTCACGCCCATCGTCCCTGCTACCCAGAGGCTGAGCTGTAGAGAATCATGGTTCAAAGCCAGCCCAGACAGAAAAGTCTGTGAGTCTCTTTATATCGCCAGTGAACCACCAGAAAACCAGAAGTGGCACCATATATATGCCTCAAAGTGGTTGAGTGCCAGCCTTGAGCAAAAATTGCTCAGGGACAGCGCCTAAGCTGTGAGTTCAAGTCCCACGGCTGACAAAAATGAACGCTAAGGGACAGCACACAGGCCCTGAGTTCCAGACCCATTTTTTTTTTTTTTTGGTCGGTCATGGGGCTTGAACTCTGGGCTTGGGCGCTGTCCCTCAGCTCTTCAGCTAAAGGCTGGTGCTCTACCACTTGAACCACAGCACCATCTCCAGTTTTCTGGTGGTTTATTGCCCAGGCTGGCTTTGAACCGCGATCCTCAGATCTCAGCCTCCTGAGTAGCTTGGATTACAGGCGTGAGCCACCGGCGCCTGGCTCCAGCCCCATTTTTCACACACACACACACACACACACACACACACACATACACACAGCTGCCACGCTGAGTCAAAATGTTCCCCTCTCCAACACTACCAACTGCGCCCTTCCTTCTTTCCTGTCTTGCAGTTGGGCTTCTTTCGCCGAAGGTACAAAGAAATCATCGAAGCGGAGAAGAACCGGAAAGAAAACGAAGACAGCTGGGACTGGGCGCAGAAGAACCAGTGACCTGCCTGCAGTCCCGCCCCCATCATGTGCCGCGGGTCACCTGCCTGCACAGGCCCCGCCCCCGTCACATGCCACCGGTCACCTGCTCTGGGACCCTCCTGTCACGTGCCGGCCGGTCACATGCCTGCGGCCCCTTCATTTTGTGTATCTTCCATATTTGGAAGAAAAGGAAATCTTCTCCAGATTTTTCGGAGGCCCCTCTGATGCTAATTTTGTTTTTCCCCCTTCTTCCTCCTCATCTGCTCCCATCCAGGTGCTGGCCTGAGAAAGCCACTTCCCCTCAAGTCACAGGACTGGCCACCACCTCCTCCACCACCACCACCTCCATCTCCTTCTTCGTGATGAACTTTCTTAGGAACGTGAGTGTTAAGAAAGAGGCAAGCGATATTTATGAAGAAAACCTGCATGGTGAACCCTCGGGAAAACGGTTAACCTACAAGTATTTTTTTTATATATGTGTATATATGTATATATATACGTATATATACATATATATGTGTAAGGTTTTTTCTATAGATATATATATATATATATATTATGTGTCTATATTTGTACCGATGTTTTCTGAGTTCTGTTGAGTAGTTAGTTATGACTTCACTCAAGCACTGAAACCCCTCACCTGGAAGTCTGAGAATGACCCGGTGGGATCCGTATGCAAATTTTTTTAGCAATAAGAATATTGTACATGGAAAACTTGCCGTTAACAAGCAAACGAACAACAACAAAGACTGGCAGCCGGACGCTGGTGGCTCACCTCTGTCACCCCAGGAGGCTCAGCTCTGAGGATCACGGGTTTGAAGTCAGCTCCTGGGCAGACAAATCCCACAGACTTCTCTCCAATGAACCATCAGAAAAGAAAAACAAGGTGGGAACGAACGCTTGGCTCAAGTAGTAGAGCACCACCAGCCTCGGAAGGAAAAAGCCACATTGGGAGTACAACACCCCAAGTTCAAGTCCCAGTACCTGCACCAAAAAAAAAAAAAGAAAGAAAGAAAAAAGACTTGCAGATAAACTGACCTGAAGAAACCGCAAGGACGAATCTGCCACGTGGTAGGACTGCACGTGCAAATATATATATATGGATTTGAGGAACACCCTAGCGTCCTACTTGTGAGCTTTGTGCTCAGTGACAGGTGCTTTTCTACGTGCCTTTCTGGGGAAGGTTCCAGCAGTCATTTGGACAGGAAGCTCAGGTTCCCCCCAAGTGTACTCTGCCATGACTTCCCCAGCCAACCTCTCTCCTCGCTCGAGCTGGCCAGGCGAGGCCCCCAGCCAGTGGTGGGCTGTGGTTCCTGGGGACAACCTGCAACCTGTGTGCCTTTTTCCGGGTCCCAGGGACCCCGCGATGCAGCAAAGGGAAGACGTCCTGGAGGGGATGACCTGAGCCCGGGTCACCTCCGGCCCTCCAGAGGGCCAAGCTGTGCCTCAGTTGTCTCAATTGAGAGCAGGGGAGTCCTCGCATTTCTCCTCCTGAAACCAGGGAGCAGTGAGCCTGGGCTCCATGCCTGTGGCGGCTGGAAGTCATCTGTTGGAGAAGGAAGGCAGACCCCAGTGTGATGCCCTCCCCATAACCCGAGGCCGACCCTGGCACCCACCACCCTGGCCGCCCATGGCTGGGGTACAGCACGGCTTTCCTGCAAGGACGGACAGATGGAAAGTGAGGTGCACACCCCAGCAGTGGCCGCTGCCCCTGCAAGCCAAGAGCCCCTGACAAAAGCTGGTGAAGGCCCCGGGCAGGTGGCGTGGCCAGGGTTGTGTTTTATGTTTCCTTATCAAGCTGTGGAAAGTCTGAGAACATGGCCAGAGAGGTGCAGGACTCCACCTCCGAGGGTGCAGGTTTCCCTGCATGGCTGCTGCAAACACCTAAAAAAATATGGGTGCAAAACACGTGTGCACGAGAGGCCACCGCAGACCTGACACAGAGCACGCGGCTTCTGGAATCTTCTTAATGCAGATGGCCCAGATGCATGGAAATTAAGACCAGGGCCAGATCCCCTTCCTGTGAGCCAAGATGCTAGCCAGCGACAGCTCCAGGGAAGGTGTGGAAGGGCGGCCCAGGGAGACCAGGCCCCTCACGGCTGGTGCACTGGGCCACATCTGTCATCCCGGCCACACAGGAGGCTGAGGCCCGGGAACCCCGGCTCCAAGCCAGTCTGGGGCGGAACTGTCTTGAAGACTCTTCTCACCAGTAAAACAGCCAAAAACTAGACACGGAGGTGTGGTTTGAGTGGTAAGTGTGCCAGCCTCGAGAGACGCTAAGGAACAGCACCTAGGCCCCATGTTCAAGCCCCTGTACGCACACACGCACACACACAATTTGAGGGATACACGCCATGGGGCACAGGCCCACACGTGTGACACTCTAGGCTTGATTCCAGGATCACAACTAAGTCAATGGAATTCTCCTCAGGGAGATGGCCACGTGGAGGCCCCTGGGCCTTAGGGAGATGGCCACATGGAGATGGCCGTATGGAGCCCCAGGGCCAGGGAGCGGGCCTCTGTCAGGCACCTCTGAGAACGTGGGGCCTGTGTGACATGCTCTTTGTTGTCACCAGTGGACTCGTGCAACGGCCAGTGGAGAATACATTTCTGGAACAGCTGGAGGGATGACCAGGGTGAGCCCAGTGGATGCTGCGATGTCTTCCAGCCCTGGATGGGGTGATGAACGGCGTGAGGTGGCCTGGGCCTATCTGGTGTCTTCTTTGTGGCTGTAATGTGTCAGGTCCGAGGTGCCCGCGTGATTGGCACAGTGGGCTTTTGTAACTTGTCTGCATGGTGAGCACCCCTTCCGTGGGCTTCTAGAAGGCTCTGTCCCGTCCCAGGAGGGGGTCCTCGCGGTCACTCAAACTGTGTGGGACATGCCGGGTTTACACAAGGATAAAGACGTGTATTTCACAATAAAAGACGGCTGCACACGGCCCACACATGTCTACCTTCCTTTAACAGCCACCCATGAGGGCACTGGGGTGGGTGCACGGTGCAGGACACGGGGTGAGTGTGCGGGGTGCATGAGGGCTTCGGGGTGAGTGTGCACACCACGAGGGTACTGGGGTGAGCGCACGACGGCGCCGGGGTGAGCGCACACCACAAGGACACCAGAGTGCGCACAGTGCACAAGGACGCCGGGGTGAGTGTGCGCGGTACACGGTGCCGGGGTGAATGTGCGCGGTACACCGTGCCGGGGTGAGTGTGCGCAGTACACGGCGCCGGGGTGAGTGTGCGCAGTTCCCCGTGCCGGGGTGAGTGTGCGCAGTACCCCGTGCTGGGGTGAGTGTGCGCGGTACACGGCACCGGGGTGAGTGTGCGCAGTTCCCCATGCCGGGGTGAGTGTGCGCGGTACCTCGTGCTGGGGTGAGTGTGCGCGGTACAAGGCGCCGGGGTGAGTGTGCGCGGTACACCGTGCCGGGTGTGTGTGGTACACGGCGCAGGGGTGAGTGTGCGCGGTACACCGTGCCGGGGTGAGTGTGCGCAGTTCCCCGTGCTGGGGTGAGTGTGCGCGGTACACCGTGCCGGGGTGAGTGTGCGCGGTACACGGCGCCGGGGTGAGTGTGCGCAGTTCCCCGTGCTGGGGTGAGTGAGCGCGGTACCCCGTGCTGGGGTGAGTGTGCGCGGTACACGGCGCCGGGGTGAGTGTGCGCAGTTCCCCGTGCTGGGGTGAGTGTGCGCAGTTCCCCGTGCTGGGGTGAGTGTGCGCGGTACACAGCGCCGGGGTGAGTGTGCGCAGTTCCCCGTGCTGGGGTGAGTGTGCACGGTACACCGTGCCGGGGTGAGTGTGCGCGGTACACGGCGCCGGGGTGAGTGTGCGCAGTTCCCCGTGCTGGGGTGAGTGTGCGCGGTACACGGCGCCGGGGTGAGTGTGCGCAGTTCCCCGTGCTGGGGTGAGTGTGCGCGGTACACGGCGCCGGGGTGAGTGTGCGCAGTTCCCCATGCCGGGGTGAGTGTGCGCAGTTCCCCGTGCTGGGGTGAGTGTGCGCGGTACACGGCGCCGGGGTGAGTGTGCGCAGTTCCCCGTGCTGGGGTGAGTGTGCGCGGTACACGGCGCCGGGGTGAGTGTGCGCGGTACACCGTGCTGGGGTGAGTGTGCGCGGTACACGGCGCCGGGGTGAGTGTGCGCGGTACACCGTGCTGGGGTGAGTGTGCGCGGTACACGGCGCCGGGGTGAGTGTGCGCGGTACACCGTGCTGGGGTGAGTGTGCGCGGTACACGGCGCCGGGGTGAGTGTGCGCGGTACACCGTGCTGGGGTGAGTGTGCGCGGTACACGGCGCCGGGGTGAGTGCACACCGGTAAGCGTACACTTACGAGGGAACCAGGGTGAGTGTGCACACGAGGACTCCGGAGTGCGGTGCAGCAGGACGCCGGCTAAGTGTACGTAGTGCACGAGGACGCTGGGACGCGCGTGCAGTGGCACGGGGGCGCGGGGGCGCGGAGCGGGATCCGGGGAAGCGGGGAGCAGCCGGAGAAGCACTGGGCCAGGCCCCGCCAGGTCCGCCCGCCGCCGAGGGACTCAGCGCTCACGGGCGAGCGCGCCAGGCCCCGGTGCGCACGCAGCCAGTGAGCGGAGCCAGACGCCCGCTGAAACCCGCCCCACAGCCAATCCCCCGCAGCTCGTGGGCCCGCCCGAGATCCCTGATTGGCCGAAAGTCCAGGGCTCCGCTTCCGCGCACCGTCGTACTGCCCCGCCCACTGCGCAGGCTAGCCCGTGAGCTAGAGGACTGCCCCAGGGGGACCGGGCTAGCTTGCCTCTTAACCCCGCCCCAAAACGTCACGTTCATAGACCCTCCCCCAGGGGGCGGAGTCAGTCTCGCAGCCGTCCCCCGAGTTCGCTGATTGGCAGACGAAGCCGCGCCACGCCCGCCGCTCGGCACGCCCCCTGAGCGGTGACGCAAGCCGTGCGAAGGAGGCGCTTGGCCCCGCGCGCCCGGGGCTGCGGGCCCGGGCCCGCGCGGGCTTCTCCGCCATGGCGCCGCGGGCCGTCAGCCCGAAGTCCGGTGCGTGCTCCGCGGCGCCCCGCCGGCCCGACCCATCCCTGCGGCGGGGTCCCCGCTGCTGTCCGCGCTCCCCGCGGCCCCCCTGAGACCTCCGGCCCCCCAGAACCCCGGTCCGCCCGCCCCTCAGGCCCCCGGTCCTCCCCGCGGCCCTCCCGCCCCGCTCAGACCTGCGGTCCTCCCCGCGGCCCCCCTCAGGCCCCCGGCCCCATCCGAGCGCCCCGCTGCCCCCCACCCGGGACCCCTCCCCACAGCCCGCACCCCCAACCTCCGCGCCCCGCCCCTCCGCCCCTCCCCCGCGGCTCCGCCCCTCCCCGCGCCCGGCGGCCGCTCCTCTCCGGCCTCGCTGCTCGGGCGGCGGAGGCCCCGCGGTTCCGGGCGCAGCGGTGGGGCGCCCATGGCGGGGCGGGCGGTGATCGCGCAGGTGACGGGACCCGGGGAGGACGAGGCCCGCGCGCCCTGCGCCGCCGCCAAGGGTGAGTGCGGGGGGGGGGGGGGCCCGGGGGGAGGGGAGGTTGTGCCCGGGCGCAATGGTGCAAGTGGAGCCTAGGGCGTGTGCACGCTGGCAGAGAAGAAGTGTGTGCGTGTGCAAGTGGAGCCGGGGCAGGCGTGTGTGCATGTGCTTGCAGGAAAGTTGTAAGTGTGCGAGTGCAGCCCCGGCAGGTGTGCGAGTTGCAAGTGGAGCCTCAGTGGTTGTGCACACACTGGCAGAGGTGTGTGCGTGCAGGTGTGCAAGTGGAGCCCCAGCAGGTGTGCACGCACTGGCAGAGGTTGTGTGTGTGTGTGCATGCCTGTTCCTAATAGCGGTCTGAAAGTGTGAGTGTGTGTAGTAGATAATGCATGTGCAGCATATCCAACAGGTCATGAGTGTGCACACGCACCACGGAGCGGGACAGACGCGTGCACACCTGACAGCGGCTGTCAGGCTGCGTGTGGAGGCTCACAGAGGCTGTGTCTTCCCACACCACAGGGGGAGATGGGAGCCGGAGCTGTGAGGGGGGCTCTTGTCTTCATTGCTGACAGTTTGAGTGTGTGGTGGTGAGTCCGTCTCACACTGCGGACCTCCCCTATGGGTGTGCACACACACCCACACACGGGAAGCAGCGTGGTGGCTTCTGACCGCATCCAGATGTGCATATCAGATGTGTGTATATTCAGATGTACAGGCCATGGTGGTTTAAGTTGGACAATGGGTGGCAGGCTGGGTAGGACTCTGTGTGTGTGTGTGTGTGTGTGTGTGTGTGTGTGTGCACGTGTGTGTTGTACCCATACCCAGGCTTGAACTCAGGGCCTAGATATTGCCCCTTAGCTTTTCCCACTCCAGGTACATTCTATCGCTTGAGCCACAACTCCACCTGTGGTGGTTTTAGTTGTTAATAGGAGAGGAGCACCTCACTGATTTTCCTGCTTGGGTTGGCCTTAAACCGGGATCCTCAGTTTTCATGGTAGTCATGAGTCACTAGCATGTCCTGGCTGTTTTGGGGGGTGGTGGTTTAGGGGGGTTGGTCATGGGGCTTGAACTCTGTGCCTGGATGCTGTTTCCAAGCTTTTAAGCAAAAGACTCAATCTGTGAAAAAATCTAGACTGGGTAGACAAACTTAAAGAGCACACCTGATCTGTTTGGCTTGTTGACAGTAGCTTTTATTAGCAACCTTTTATCATCTCCTGGCTACCTGTTCTGTTTGTTTTTTTCTGTGTCAGATTGGCTTATGGGTCCAATCTGCCGTCCTGGGGGGGCGGGGGGGCGGTGTTCATTAGTAGAGACCCTTTCTTGCTGTAAAACCCTAATTCACTTGAGTTTCTTATTTTGTTTTGTCTTTTGTTGTTTAACTCTGGGCCTGAGCACTGTCCCCTGAGTTCTTCAGCTCAAGGCGGCCACTCTACCACTTGAGCCACAGAGCCACTTCTGTTTTTCTGGTGGTTTACTGGAGATCACAGTCTCATGGGTTTTTCTGACCAGGCTGGTCCCAGTGCTGGGACCAAAAAAAAAAAAAAAAGAGTTGAAATAGAATAGACTCTGGAGCAGTAGTTATATCTGAAAACAGATCAGATATGAAGAGGTTTGATTTAATTAACTTTTTTAAATTAAAGTTTCCATTTAGAGGTGATAAAAGTTCGCCTCGTGCCTCTGGCTCCCAGCCACTCAGGAGGCTGAGATCTGAGGATCTTGGTTCAAAGCCAGCCTGAGCAGGAAAGTCCGTGACACTCTGATCTCCAATAAACCAGAAAAAGCTGGAAGTGGAGAAGTAGACCAAGAGGTTCTTTTTTTTTTTTCCTTTGGTCCATCATGGGGCCTGAACTCTGGACCTGGGCGCTGTCCCTCAGCTCTTCAGCTCAAGGCTAGCACTTTACCACTTGATCCACAGTGCCACTTCTGGCTTTTTCTGCTTATGTAGTGCTGAGGAATCGAACCCAGGGCCTCATGCATACAAGGCATGTACTCTACTACTAAGCCACCTTCCCAGCCCCCCAAGAGGTTCTTTTTTTCCCCCTTCAGTTTCCTGGAAGAAATTGTGTAGAAATTGGTGTCCCATCCCCCCAGTGAAATCTGAGCCTGGAATTTTCTTTTGTTTTTTTTTCTTTTGTTTTTTGCCAGTCCTGGGGCTTGAACTCGGGGCCCCAGGTGCCATCCCTGAGTTGCTTTGGCTCAAGGCTAGTGCTCTACCACTTTTTCTGTGTATGTGGTACTAAGGAATCAAACCCAGGGCTTCCTGTAATGCTAGGCCATCACTCTACCACTGAGCCACATTCCCAGCCCATGGTGGAGGAATTTTAAGTGTGCAAAATTCAGTTTTCTTATTTCATAGTGATTCAAGCTATATCTTTGATGTTGGGTGAATTGTTGGGAAATGTTGTTTTATTTTGTGCGTATATTGGGCCTTGAAGCTCAGGACCTAGCACTCCTGTTGGCTTTTTCTCTCAAGGCTGGTAC